GGATAGATATATAGTTACATTCTCTTAATGAATAGAATGATTTGTTCTAATGGTGTTTGTAAATAGGATCTCAAGTCTGCATCTTGCACAGCAATTAACCACTAAGAAGAATATATGCAGTGTGTTAGTTATTGAAACTGTCCTACCGATTTGATTTGAAACTGTCTCATTGCTATCTGTTTAATCAATAAAATTATGAAAAAAAATAAATAGAAAAAACAGTCTTCAGAATCTGCTCAAAGACCTATAAAAATTTTTTTAAAGACAGGGTCTTGCTAAGTTGCCCAGGCTAACCCTGAATTTGCAATCCTCCTGCCTCAGCCTCCTAAATAACTGTGATCATAAGTATGTACCAGCATGCTAGCCCAGGTCTTTCTGTCCTTATAAAATCATGAGGATGAGGGAGTTCTGCCCTCACAAATCATCTGAACTTCCAGACTTCCTCAAAGCTCCTTCTCTAAACACCATCAATGTGAATCTAAGGATGAAGTTTCTACACATGAACTTTGGTGGGGAACATGTTAAAACCATATCAAGTAAGTAGCACCATTTGAAAATTATTCAAGAGGTATTTGATAGAGCGGAAACAAAACCAAGAAAAAGTGCCATGATGGGAAAAACTCAGGCAATGAGGTAGGGCCATAGGGAGGGAGGCAGAATATGACTGTCCTGGAGCTAAGATGACACAGGTGACCATATGTCACATACACTCACCACACAGGAAGAGCTTTCAAGGTTTTCCCTTGTGGGATTGGGACAGTTGGAGCTTCAGATACGATTCACTTCTGCCTCTAACCCTGGAGTTAGAGGAACCAAATGTTGCTACTCACTTGCTGTTCATCTTGGAGGAAGTCACAACGCTCCAAGTTTTCTCATTGTAAAACTCTTTAATACAAAAATATCCACTAGGGGCTGGAGAGATGGCTCAGTGGTCTAAAGCACCTACTTGGAACAAGCTTGGCAAAGTACAGGGACCACGGTTCGATCCCCCAGCACCACATGCCAGCCAGCTGCGCCCCCTGGTGGGCTGAGCTGGCCACACACACACACACACACACACACACACACACACAATAAATAAATGTTAAAAAAAATTAAAAAAAAAAAACAAATATATCCACTGTAAATTTTATGAGAAACGTGTTTATGTGCCTGACACAGAACCTAGTGCTGGAGTAGATCCACAAGAAATATTAGTGTATAGGCCGGAAAGATAGCTCAGCTGACTAGAGCGCCCACTTAGGCAAGCTTAGGCAAGCGCAGGGAGCTTGGTTCAATCCCCAGCACCACATGCTGAGCCTGCCCCACCCCCAGCGTGGGCTGAGCTGACCACAGAGTCCAGGCATGGTGGCGCATGCTTGTAAGCCCAGTGCTGGGGAGGCTGAAAACAGGAGGATCACGATGAGTCTGAGCTGCATAGTGAGACCCTGTAACAATCAAATACATTTAAAAAAAAAAATTAGTGTAATCTGATTTGTTCTATTTTATAAAGACCTTCTTCCATTTTTCACAGGGAGCAGCACAAGTGTAGAGAAACAATTTTTCATGAGAAGCCAACCTGTGGAAAGTTCACTCCCTGCTGCAAATCACTAGCCGCTTGCCTAATCTCTTCATGGCTGCCTGCATCTCCTGGTTCCTCAGGGTGTAGATCATGGGGTTGAGCATGGGGGTCATGACAGTGTAGCTGATGGACACAGCTTTGTCCAAGGGGAATGGGGTGAAGGGCCGGGAGTAGATATATATGCAGGGAATGAAAATCATAGACACCACGATGATGTGGGTGGTGCAGGTGGAGGCGACCTTCCTCCTCGCCTGCCCTGAGTGGGACCTCAGCATCACCAGGATGACAGAGTAAGAGATGAGGAGGAGGAGGAACCAGATGAGCACCAGCAGCCCACTGTTGGAGATCATGAGGAGCTCCAGGAGGGATGTGTCAGTGCAGGCTAGTCTGAGTACCTGGGGGACATCACAGTAGAAGTTATCCAGGATGTTGGGGCCACAATATGGCAATGGCAGCATCAGGGCCAGCTGGACGATGGAGTGGACAAAGCCCCCGAGCCAGGCAGCAACCACCAGGCCCACGCACAGTCGAGTGTTCATGATGCTGACATAGTGGAGTGGGCGCGAGATGGCTACATAGCGGTCATAGGCCATCACGGAGAGGAAGAAGACAGTCCCACCTCCCAGCAGGTGGAAGAAGAAGATCTGGGCCATGCAACCCTGGTAGGAGATGGTCTTGGTCTCGTGAAAGAAGTCCACCAGCATCTTCGGGCAGGTGACGGTGGAATAGCAGAGGTCTATGACAGCCAGGTTCCGGAGCAGAAAATACATAGGTGTGTTGAGCCGGGGGTCAAAAGTCACTGTGACCAGGATAAGGATATTACCCATAACTGTGATGACATAGACAAGAAGGAACACCAGGAACAGGAATTTCTGGAGTTCTTGGATCTGTGAGAAACCCAGGAGGACAAACTCTGCCACCCACGTGTTGTTCTGTGGTTCCATGGGGTCTTCCCCATTTGCCTAGATGTATCAATGCAACACAAAACAAAGTGTGGAAATTGTTTTTGTTTTGTTTTGTTTGTTTGTTTTTTGATGAGTCAGGAGTGAGCTGATTAAAGTCATCCTGAGTTGCCACACTCACATATTCATCTATGAGCGTGAAGACATTTTCAAAGTTTTCACAGATTTTTCCCCATTAACTGCACCCTCCATTATTAACTACACCCTTCATTTCTGGGAAAGGTTTGCCCCTCTGGACCATGCTGTCCTTGCCCCTGGGCCTGCATCTGATTCTTTCTCCTATTTGCTACACTGAACATTATGCCTTGTGACTCACAGGCTCCACCATTCTACTTGAATCAAGCAATGAATGAATGAGCACACCAACAAGTACCTGGAGCCACAAACCCTGTGAACCCAAGTCCGTGAATCTTGAGGGGATTTAAAGACTAAAGGTTTTAGATGAACAGAAAGATGCTTCTTCACAGCAGAAGCTCAAGGACCTGCCTCTAGGTCATTACTGAAGGAACAGAGATGTGTGTTAGAAGAAATTGTCACTTACAGATTGAGACATTAATGTGCGGAAAGGCCAGCAGAAGACCTTGGGAGATAGTGAGGTTGGAATAATGAGGGGCTCTCACTCTTTTCTTTGTAAATACTTCTCTAGTAGCTTTCACTGCCATGGGACATCTACGGAGCTAACTGAAAAATATTCAGGAGAAATACATGATTTTCTCAAACTCATGTTTTATCTTTAAATTTTTATGTACATATTTATAAAACACATATCTCTAAACAATCTTTGGGAAAATTTTTGAAAGTGTTGGCATTGGTAAAACTTTGACTGACTAGGCAGAGCTGTTACAGAATATAGAGGATGAAAGATAAACATATTTCTAAAATTCAGTTCAGCCAGTGAAAATTCTAGAAGACAGTCACAAAAAAAAAAATAAATGAAGTTCTTTGGTGTTAAGTCTCTTTTACCCTCTTAGGTTATACATTTAAGGAACTTTTCTTTAATTCAGGAGAATTTGTCGTGGGGCCCTGCCCTGTGAAGACAATAAGACATAAAAAGATCTCTCCTGATGTCCACTTGATTCCTGGAAGGAACAGTAGCAACTGTCCTGATGTTCTTCTGAGGAATTGAATGCAGATTTATAAAAATATCTCCACCAAACACCATATACTCCCCTCTCTGTAGCCCAGGCTGGCCTAGAACTCACAAGGATCCTCCTGCCTCAGCCTCCCTAGTGCTGGGATTACTGGTGTGTGCCACCATGCCCAGCATGTACACAAATATAAAATAGAATTACCTGTAATATCTCAGGGATTATAGTACCCAATATGTTGTCTCATCTTCATGTAAATCTCATATTTATCTTCTAATATTTGTGTAAAAGTTGTGCTTCAGGAAGATGTACCTTGTTTATTCTGTAGCTGTCAGCATGGGACTATTTGAAAAATGTCTCTATGTGCACTGGAATGCCCCTAAAAGCCCTTGTGTTGGAGATAACAAGAAGAGATAGGGTTAGATGGACTTGTTCAAGGGCCTTGGGCAAAATGCCGCAATGGGGAACAGCAGGGCAGACCCTTCTGAGGCATTATGGAGCTACCCCAAAGAGGGCAGTGCAGCTAGCATGGGCTTTGTGACCCTGCCCTTTCCCATGATCAGGGGAAGACTGGGTGGACAGAGGTTTGTTTCTTTTTCAAAATTTTATTGATAAACAGATAGCAGTAAGACAGTTTCAAATCAAATCGGAAGTACAGTTTCAACAAATAATACACTGCAGATATTCTTCTTAGTGGTTAACTGCTGTATAAGATGCGGACTTGAGATCCTATTCACAAACACCATTAGAACAAATCATTCTATTCATTAAGAGAATGCAACTATATATCTATCCTAACCACTTTGAATACACAGATACAAAATGGACATTCATCGGTATACCCCATTTTTCCTAAGTTCCGTTATTGAATATTATAGGTGTGTAAACTCAGCAAAATATTCTAAAAGAGTCCAGTAGTGGGCAGAGGTTTAACAGTATGGTTTGGCCTCTCCGAGAAAGTTCCTGGTCCCTGACCCTGTACTCCCAGCTCTAGCCCTCCCACTTGATCACCCCTAAAATGCCAACAGCATCCTTCATTATCTTACCTTGTGGTCTCCATTCACATTATAATTACCACATACTTTTATACCCCTTTGCCAGTCAGACACAGACCCTGGAGCTTTCTGGATGGATAAACAAATGTCTTGAACTTGACTTAAGACATTCTGTGAAAGGAGAAAAGAAAAAGTAAGGGAAAGTGAGCAAACTGTTGGTCATGCTGGAAAATGGGCACCAAGGAATATACCAGAACCCAGTATGCTACTCTCTCTACTTTGTGGATGCGTAAATAAGATGCATGAATATTTCCATCGTGACACATAAGAAGAAAAATCTCAGAGACACTCAGGTTTTGATTGTGATGTCTTTGTGCTATTTGGATAGCCTGACTTTTAATGAACTATGCATCCATCATGGTGGAAGGAAGAGATTCAAAAATAAAATGACAGCCAGAGAGATGGCTCAATGGACTAAGTGCTTCCCTGGCAAGCGCAAGGGCCTGAGTTCAATCCTCGGTTCTGCCAAAAAAAAGTTTGGGTTTTAGGGGCCGGGGAGATGGCTCAGTGGAATAAGCGTTTCCCTGGCAAGCGCAAGGACCTGAGTTCAATCCCCGGTTCCACCAAATAAATAAATAAATAAATAAATAAATAAATAAATAAATAAATAAATAAAATGACATGAAGATATCTTATCACCCAGAAACATAGGCAGTTGTTTTGTAAATGCTACTAATACATATAAAATTGATTTATAATATACCAGATACAAAATCACACAAACTGTGTGGTGGTGCACATCTGTAATCCCAGGTACTGAGGAGAATAATCAACTGGAAGTGGGACAGTCTCAAAGTTAAAAAACAAGATAGAAAAAAATAGAGGTGTAGCTCTGTGGTTCATAGGAACAATAATCAGTATCATAAAAAAAAGAAAAGAGAGAAGAGAACAGAGGTTCCCCTTTTTTGTTTACTTTTGTCAGAGATGGGTATTCCATTGCCATTCATATATTGTAGGTGCATGAATTCAGCAAAGTAATCCAAGGTAGTCCAGTAGTCCATAGTAGTAGTGGGTTATCCGCAGAACTGGCAATGTCAGAAGTTGTTGACTTGAGTCTTTTACAGCTCAGCATATTAATATGGCTTTACTTTTTATACCCCATTTTTATACTTTTCTGCTGGATGGTTAAGACTGAGATAAAGCAAGATCTATATAACAAAAAAATGTAACTTTTGCATCTGACAAGGTCATCAAATCCCCTCATAATTTACCCTGAAACCCTTGTACAGCATTTTGTAGATCTTTTGTCACTGAAGGACCATTTTGTAGTGCAAAAATATATATATATATGTATATACCAAATAGTTAGCATAGATATACAGCTACTTTCATTTAGTTCAATGAGAAAAAAGTTTTGAACTAATAGTGTTTAGATATCGTATCTGCATCTTGTACTATGAATAACTACTACAAAGACAACAATATGCAATGTATTAATTATTGTAGCTGTCTTACTAACCTGTTTTGAAACTGTCTCATTGCTACTTCTTTCTCAATAAAATTAATATGAAAAAAAGAGAAGAGAGGAGAACATGCGGGAAGAGAAAAGGAAAAGAAAAGAAAAGACGGAGATGTAGCCTAGCATGCATGAGGTCCTGGATTTAATCCCTAGTCTTGAGAAAAATGAGGAAAAGTGGAAGTTGGAAAGAAAAGCACAAAATATTAACAAGTTTAATAGTGGTTGTGTTTGGTTAATGGAAGTGATTGAATATATATTTTTCCATTGTAAAATTAAATTTTAATTTTAATTAAAAGGCAAAACAAGCTTGTAATCCTAGAACTCAGGAGGCTGAGGCAGGAGAATTGCCATGGAGTTTGAGGCCAGTCTGTCTTCAAAAGAAAGTACCATGAAAGAAGACATCATAAGAGCTGAACTGCTTCTGAGTGTTGCTTAGCACCAGCGCTGCTGAAGGCTGAGGATGGCCTGCGTGTGTGAGAAGCAGCATTCAGGGAAGAAGAAACCTCAGAGCACTAAGAAAAGGGGGGAGAAGAGAGAGGATGGGAGAGATGCAAGTGTTGGAGAACAGTGGAGCTTTGTGTAAAAGAGGAAAGAGGGAGACAGTGACTTTCCAGACTATTGAAAGTGTCCCCTTCGTCTTGTCCCATAACAGTCACCCTCATGGTGTGAGGGGTGTCATTAATGGTCAAATACAGCCAGCTACCTTGACCTTTCCTCTTCCATATACCCCTGTCCCATGCCCTGCTCATTATCAGCCTATGATCATTCTTATGCCTTTATCACTCCAAACCCAAGTTCTTCCCTCCTGCTGTGCTCATGCCCAGCTAGACATCTTCAACCTTGCACTCTGCGTCTACTCTTACAAGACGGATCAGTCCTTCCTGGAAATTACCACCAAATCACCCCTCCTCCCTGACTTACCACGATGGTCTTCCAAGGGAGCTGCTGCCTCCGGGCATGGATCCTTTTATTGCACACTGGGATGGACATCAACGTCCCAGAAGATGTCTGCCTGCTCTACTTCAAAATGTTCTCACATTTTCTTCATAGCTCTTGACTGCAGAAAAGAATTCACATTTCTATGAGTTTTCACACAGACTTCTCATTGTCTTTGTAGACTCTTCTGGCACTTAGTAGAAATAATCATTTACTATTTTTCTTGTTTTTTGTTTTTTCTTTTTCTGCAGAACTGGGGATTGAACTCAGGATCTTGTGCTTGCCAGGCAAGCACTTTTTTTTTTATTGGCATCAGTTATTTTTATTTTAAAGAAAGAAAAAATAAAAACAGTGGTACAAAATGTCAAAACAAGATTTAGGAGAGTAACAATGGTTAGTA